CAAGGAGACACGTGGCCGGCCTGCCTCTCTTGCTGTTCTCCAGCCAAGGTCCCTTCTCCTGCTTCCAGGTTGATGGCCACAATAACAGCGCTCTCCGAGCCTGCGGAGCCAACAGGAGCGGCTCAGGCTCCCTGACAATGTGTTTTCCTCGCCTGGTGATAAGGGAAGGATGCCGGCAGCATGCAAATCCTGCTCAATGAGGGCCGGCCCATTCGCAGGAGCATCTGGTCTGCCTTGTTGCCGTCTGTCATTAATGGGCAGGAGGGAGCCAAGGAAAAACCTCTCCTCCTCTCCGCAGGTCACCCTTTGGGGCTAAAAAGCACAGGAAAGAGGAGAAAAAGGGGTTTGATGGCCCTCCACTTTGCAGAAAGCAAGACATCCTGCAATGGAAAGGTGATAGAATCCTAGAGTTGGAGGAGACCCCAAGGGCCATCCAGTCCAACCTCCTCTACTTAAAAAACTACAGAGAAAGAAGGAGACTCCACCAGACTCCAAAGTATTACATTCCACTGTTGAACAGCTGTGACTGTCAGGAATTTGGTCCTAATATTCAAGTGGACTTCCTTTTCCACCACTTGAATCCCTTGCCAAAGCCCAGAAGATCCAGGCATCCTTTTTGGAGAAAGGAGAAGGTGTGATGTGGGTTTTGAGGGAGATTTGTCCCACTCACAAGGCTGGTTTGATCCCTAGGACAGTCTGAGTTGGAGGCTGAGACCAAACAAGTGACAGATTCAAGAGAAGACTTAGTCTACCTCTCTTCTCCTTTGGCCAGGCCTCACCTGAAAGAACTCTGTAACCAGTTCAGGGCAACAACATTCAGGAAGGATAGGGACAAGCTGGAAGGTGTCTAGAGAAAAGCCACCAAAATGGACTGGAAAGTAAGACTCTCCAAGTTAAGAAGCTGGGGATGCTTAGCTTGGAGAAGGGATGGTTGACATCACAACCACGTTGAAATATCTGAAAGGATGTCACATTGAGGAGAAAGGGACAAGCTTGTTTTCTGTTGCTCTGGAGCGTAGGATACAATGGAGCAATGGGATCAAGCTTCAGGAAATGAGAGTCTACCTAAACATTGGGAAGAACCTCTTGGTCAAAGCTGTTTGATGTTGGAATCTGCTGCTGCCTTGGAGTCCATTGGAGTCTCCTTTTGTGGAGGTCATTAAACAGAGGCTGCATGGCCATCAGTTTGGAGTGCTTTGATTGCATGCTTCTCTATTGCAGAAGGAGGTTGGACTGGATGGCCCTTGGGATCCTTTCCAAGTTCCCCCTTCTCCCTATTTCTCATTGGGTTGGCCAAGGTTGAAGCCACAGGACACTCAGGTGCCCTTTTTGGAGATGGCAGAAGCTGCAATGTGGTTATTTGGGGGATTCCTCATAGAATCATAGAATCAAAGAGTTGGAAGAGACCTCATGGGCCATCCAGTCCAACCCCCTGCCAAGAAACAGGAATATTGCATTCAAATCACCCCTGACAGATGGCCATCCAGCCTCTGTTTAAGGAGTAGGTTGATCCTGAGGTCCCTAAGATTTGGAGACCTTAGTGAGGCTCTGGAGAATATCACTCTCCATTGGGTTTACTGGATTTTCCTTTGAAGGGATTAGGGTCGGGGTTGGAGTGGAAAATTACCAGCCAAAACAAAAAGTTCAGACAAAGGCAAAAGTTCAGAAGGCAGTGCCTAGTGACATGAAGGTGCAGGAAGGGGAAATAGTTGCTGAGAAAATACTGATAAGAGCTGGAACCAAAGAGGAACAGAGGACAGTTCAAATAAAATAGCCTGTGCACATGCTCAAGGCATTGACTATAAAACAGAGTTGCATCTCAGTTCAGTGGCACTTTTCCTTTGTTTACCCGGCAGGGTGATTTGCTCAAATAAACCTGTTGAATGAGCTTTTTGCTTCTGGTTGGACAGAGATCCTGGAGGTTTTGGGTCACTTGGAAATAGTGGGACATGCAGCATGTCCCAACACCTTCATGCCAATCTTTTCTCTCTTTCTTTTTGCCCCAGCGTTTTCCTGAACTGGGGAGCCAAAGCAACTTGCAAAACAGAGAATGACTACAACTATTTCTTGCAGGATCAGACTCTCATAGAATCATAGAATCAAAGAGTTGGAAGAGACCTCCTGGGCCATCCAGTCCAACCCCATTCTGCCAAGAAGCAGGAATATTGCATTCAAATCACCCCTGACAGATGGCCATCCAGCCTCTGTTTAAAAGCTTCCAAAGAAGGAGCCTCCACCACACTCTGGGGCTGATAGTTCCACTGCTGAACGGCTCTCACAGTCAGGAAGTTCTTTCTCATGTTCAGATGGAATCTCCTTTCACCATCAATAGTAGGGGACACATGAGGTTTGGCTTGTTCCATGCCTTCCTATGAAAAGCAGGCACCCTTTGTCCACCCTGGCTCTCTCACGTACATAAGCAACCATTGTCTCAATTCATCCATTGTCTGCTCACCCATGTTTTTCGGTCAAACAAACACAGCCTTGCAGTCATCCATTCCTGACCCCATTCATTCCCTTCTCCTTCCTCTCCCCATCTACCCTTCTGACCCTTGGCTTGAATTCGGCCATCCCTTGATGAATGGTCAATTCAGGTTGCCACCCAAGTGGTCTGCCCATTATTTGTAGGCCTTGTGCCACATGAAGAGAAAACGGGAGAGACAAAAACGTGGCAGAGAAAGGGCTGAGCTCCCTTACTTTCCTCTTACATTATGCTATTCTACTGTCTTCCGCTTCATCCAAGACCCAACATCCCTGCTTCTAGAAACTACGGACTCACCAAATCCCTCTGCAACTCTTCCCAGAAATAAGGCGACTCTGATGTGGTTGAATGAGCACAAGGCAAGACTTGTCTCTGCTTCATATATCTGTGTAACGCAAGGAATCTTTGCTTCTTGTCTGCATGGAGAAGTCACTTTCCCTTTTCCCCAAGGAGTCTTTATTGTGTTTTATGGCCCTTCATTTGAGAAGAGAGCACCATGGGGCGTCTCTGCCTCAAGGTGCCTGATGCACAGGAATGAGAGTCACCAACTTCTACCAAAGTTGGGTAACTTTATTTTGTGCATCTACTCTTTTGAATGAGATGTATTCCCTGCAACAATAAAACATATGTTTTTTACCTTATTCGAGCTGCAGTGGCGCAATGAGTTAAACCCTTGTGCTGACTGAACTGCTGACCTGAAGGCCGGCAATCTCATAGAATCCTAGAATCCTAGAGTTGGAAGAGACCTCCTGGGCCATCCAGTCCAACCCCATTCTGCCAAGAAGCAGGAATATTGCATTCAAAGCACCCCTGACAGATGGCCATCCAGCCTCTGTTTAAAAGCTTCTAAAGAAGGATCCTCCACCACACTCCGGGGCAGAGAGTTCCACTGCTGAACGGCTCTCACAGTCAGGAAGTTCTTCCTCATGTTCAGATGGAATCTCCTCTCTTGTAGTTTGAAGCCATTGTTCCGTGTCCTAATCTCCATGGAAGCAGTAAACAAGCTTGCTCCCTCCTCCTCCCTGTGGCTTCCTCTCACATATTTATACATGGCTATCATATCTCCTCTCAGCCTCTCCTCTCATATCTTCTCTTCTAAACATGCCCAGCTCCTTAAGCCGGTCCTCATAGGGCTTCTTCCCCAGACCCTCGATCATTTTATTTGCCCTCCTCTGGACACATTCCAGCTTGTCAATGTCTCTCTTGAATTGTGGTGCCCAGAATTGGACACAATATTCCAGTTGTGGTCTAACCAAGGCAGAATACAGCATGGGGAGCATGACTTCCCTAGATCTAGACACTATGCTCCTATTGAGGCAGGCCAAAATCCCATTGGCATATTTTGCCGCCACATCACATTCCTGGCTCATGTTTAACTTGCTGTCCACGAGGACTCCAAGACCTTTTCCCCACGTCCTGCTCTTGAGCCAGGCCTCATCGTCCCCCATTCTGTATCTTTGCATTTCGTTTTTTCTGCCAAAGTGGAGTCTCTTGCATTTGTCCTTGTTGAACTTCATTTTGTTAGTTTTGGGCCATCATCTCTCTAATCTGTCAAGATCGTTTTGAATGCTGCTCTTGTCTTCTGGAGTATTGGCTCTCCCTCCCAATTTGGTGTCGTCTGCAAACTTGATGATCATGCCTTCTAACCTTTCATCTAAGTTATTAATGAAGATCCTGAGCAGGACCGGGCCCAGGACGGAAGCCTGCTGATGGCACTCCACTCATCACTTCTTTCCATGATGAAGAGGAAGCCTTGGGGAGAATCACCCTCTGGGTTTGTCCATTTAACCAATTCCAGATCCACCTCACCGTAGTTTTGCCTTGCCCATATTGGACTAGTTTCCTTGCCAGAAGGTCGTGGGGGACCTTGTCAAAGGCCTTCCTGAAATCCAGGTACGCTACATCCATTTGTATCTGCAAGATTTGGTGAGCTCCCATCTGTCAGCTCTAGCTTCTCATGCAAGGACATAAGAGAAGCCTCCCACATCTGGGAATCCCCAGGGCAACGTCTCTGCAGACGGCCAATTCTTTCACACCAGAAGCGACTTGCAGTTTCTCAAGTCGTTTCTGACATGATTTTTACAAAAGCTGATTTGAACCATACTGTAACATTCTGTGCATGTTCTCTCCTGCCTCCTACCAAAAGCTCATATATAGCACTGGTTATACTGCACACTATTCTACTACAGAAACAAAATATTCCCACACTCTGCAATGTAGGCGATGGCACACAATGTGCCCCTCAAAATTAGAGATAGTCTGAATCCCACACAAGGATAGCAGGCAGCTGGCAATGCTCTGTGCGCACCACAGTCTCCATGGGTTGAGATTCCAAACCATCCACATGGTAAATGCCTGCTACTGCTTCCCCTCCCTTTACGCACCACTGTGTCCATTGCTTGGGATTTCAAACCATCCACAAGATAAATGCCCGCTTCCCAACAGCCATAATCTGCAGAGGAAGAAGGCCTGTAGGATAGAGTAGGGACCATTCCAGGAAGAGAAGAAGCCACAACTGTACAAAACCAAAACAAACCATCTTTAATATCCCTAAAAACCTCAGGAATTCCATTTTCGAGAAAGTCCATTCCCAAGTTGCCGTGCAGACATGTCCAGCCAAAGACAAGATGTTCAGAAGTTGTCCAGCAGCTCCACGATCCGCTTCTGCTCGCTCTCCCGGAATTCAGGGTTCTTCCCGTCCCCAATGTTCTCCGCATACTCTGCAGGGAAAGAAGGGGCAAAAGGAGTTAGGAGGGAAAAGGAAGGCAGCTCTCGGTGTGGGGTAAAGACCTCCAAACTCCCAAGAGATGGAAGCAGCAAAGGAAAGGTAGTTGTAGGTTTTTTCGGGCTATATGGCCATGTTCTAGAGGCATTTTCTCCTGACGTTTCGCCTGCATCTATGGAAAGCATCCTCAGAGGTAGTGAAGTCTCTTGGAACTAGGAAAAAGGGGTTTTTTTGGGGCTTTATGGCCATGGTCTAGAGGCATTTTCTCCTGACGTTTCGCCTGCATCTATGGCAAGCATCCTCAGAGGTAGTGAAGTCTCTTGGAACTAGGAAAAAGGTATTTTTCGGGCTATATGGCCATGGTCTACAGGCATTCTCTCCTGACGTTTCGCCTGCATCTATGGCAAGCATCCTCAGAGGTAGTGAGGTCTGTTGGAACTAGGAAAAAGTTGGAACCATGATCTGTGGAATGACCAAAGTGGGGCAAAGGACTCTTGTCTGCCGGAGCTAGGTGTGAATGTTTCAACTGACCACCTTGATTAGCATTTGATAGCATGGCAGTGCCTTGGAGCAATCTTTTGTTGAGAGGTGATTAGATGTCCTTGTTTGTTTCCTCTCTGTTGTTGTGCTGTTGTAATTTTAGAGTTTCATGGTTTCCTCCTTTCTGTTGAAATTGTCCACATGCTTCTTGTGGATTTCAATGGCTTCTCTGTGTAGTCTGACCTGGTGGTTGTGAGAGTGGTCCAGCATTTCTGTGTTCTCAAATAATATGCTGTGTCCAGGTTGGTTCATCAGGTGCTCTGCTATGGCTGACTTCTCCAGCAGACAAGAGTCCTTTGCCCCACCCTGGTCATTCCACAGATATATAAACCCTTTTTCCTAGGTTCTTGTGGGTTTTTTCAGGCTATAGGGCCATGTTCTAGAGGCATTTCTCCTGACGTTTCGCCTGCATCTATGGCAAGCATCCTTTTTCCTAGTTCAAACAGACCTCACTACCTCTGAGGATGCTTGCCATAGATGCAGGCGAAACGTCAGGGGAAAATGCCTCTAGAACATGGTCATATAGCCCGAAAAAACCTACAACAACCCAGTGATTCTGACCATGAAAGCCTTCGACAATACAAAGGAGAGGTCCTTCTGAAGGCCGGTCGGTCTGGATTTGGAAGATTGGTCCAGTCTTCTCTCTGTTCATTAAACCAAAATATCTTCTGATACCTGGCACCACACTGGATGGGTAACTAGCACAGGGACCACAATTCTTTCAATTTTGGAAAAGGGAGGCACAAAGAGAGAGAGGGAGAGAAGTGGGGTAACTAATTGCACGTGTCCTGGATCCTAAATGGTTCTCCCAACACGACTGAAATACCTTCCTTTACGCCTGCAAATGTTTGCTGGGTTTTCAGAAGCTAAAATATATGAAGTGACACTCAACAGGGATGGTTTGGATCCAGAGCAGATGTGAAGGCATGCAGCAATAACAACAACACCAAATGCAGCACCCAAACAGGAGTCAAGGAACATGAAAGGCACTGCAGACTCCTTCAACCAGAGAAGTCAGCCATAGCAGAGCACCTGAGGAACCAACCTGGACACAGCAGATTATTATTGGAGAAGACAGAAGTGCTGGACCACTCTCACAACCACCATGTCAGACTACACAGAGAAGCCATTGACATCCACAAGCATGTGGACAATTTCAACAGAAAGGAAGAAACCAAGAAAATGAACAAAATCTGGCTACCAGTATTAAAAAACTCAAAAATTACAACAGCAAAACAGCAGAGAGGAAACAATCAGGGACAGCTAATCACCTCTCAACAAAAGATTAATCCAGGCACTTCCAGGCTATCAAATGCTAAGCAAGGTGGTCAGTTGAAACATTCACACCTAGCTCCAGCAGACAAGAGTCCTTTGTCCCACCCTGGTCGTTCCACAGATATATAAACCCATGTTCCTAGTTCCAACAGACCTCACTACCTCTGAGGATGCTTGCCATAGATGCAGGCGAAACGTCAGGAGAGAATGCCTCTAGAACATGGCCATATACCCCCCCCCCCAAAAAAAACCTACAACAACCCAGTGATTCCGGCTATGAAAGCCTTCGACAATACAACAAAGTTGTTTTTGGACCTGGTTGTGGCGCAGCTAGTTGGGAGTCAGTTGCATTAAAATCACTACTGATCAAGAGGTCATGAGTTCGAAGCCAGCCCAGTCGGAGTGAGCTTCCAGCCATTTGTCTAGCTTGCCGTCGACCTTTGCAGTCTGAAAGACAGTTGCATCTGTCAAGTAGGAAATTTAGGTACCGCTTACCCGGAGAGGTGAATTTAACTAATTTACGACTCCATAAAAAACTCTCCAGCAGCATGCAAAGAACGAGGAAGTATTCTATCGGTGTCACAAATAGACGGTGAAGCAACAGCTCCCCTGGTGGCCAGAATACCCTCATGAAAAAGCTGGAAAGTTAAATAGCCTCTGTGTGTCTGTCTATATATGTTGTGTGTCTGTGGCATTGAATGTTTCTGCTCTCCAGCAGCATGCAAACAATGAGGAAGTACTCTATCGGTGTTACAAGTGTATCATTAAGCACCAGCTCCCCCAGTGGCTGGAATTTAAATAAAAGCATACCCTCATGAAGCTGGAAAGTTAAATAGCCTCTGTGTGTCTGTCTATATATGTTGTGTGTCTATGGCATTGAATGTTTGCCATGTATGTGCTAAGAATATGTGAGTGTTTTGATTAATTGTGCTCTGTAGTTTTCAAAGTTAGTGATTATGTGTTTTAGAGATGTAATGCTTTGTAATGCAATGTTCCTAAGATTCTAATTCCTGTGTGGAAAGGGTGAACTGTATCGTGGAGGAGGAGTCGTAAATCTCAGTGCAGAAAGTGTTGTAGAGTGCGTCATACGTCATCGCGTCACTGAGGAATGTGGGAGTTGGTTAGTGGATTGCAATGAACAGCCGAGCCATGTAGACGTTTTTGTTTCTCGTTCTGTTTAGTTCTAGTGTAAATAGTTTTGTGTTAAATAAACTAGATTTTTAGATAAGAAGATGTGTTTCAGTGCTTTGTGTGTGTGCTGAGATCATCGCCATTCCATTAACAGTATGTGCTACTGTAAATAAACAAACAAATAAACAAATAAATAAGTATTGCTGATACTGTAGGAGATGCAATGATGATGGTGATGATGCCAGATGAAAAAAGGAAAGTAAACAACCAAGAAAGAAAGTCAGATAGACAGGCAACAGAAGAAAAATGCTCTCAACAAAGGAATCCCCCAGGCAGTAAGAAGCCAGACCTTGAGAACTGCTAGGCCATCAAATGCTAACCAAGGTGGTCAATTGAAACATTCACACCTACCTCCAACAGACAAGAGTTCTTTCTCTCACCCTGGGCATTCCACAGGTATTTAAACCAATTTTCCTAGTTTCCAACAGACCTCACAATCTCTGAGAATGCCTGCCAGAGATGTGGGTGAAATATCAGGAGAGAATGCTTCTAGAACATGGCCAAAAAAGTTACTCTTCCTTTGATGGAGATCTTTGTCTACTTCTCTCTACTTCGTTGATGCAACTGGTATAATGGAAGTATGTTATAATATTTTAAATATTTTATAACATCTTGATAGATGTGTGTGGGAAGAAGTCGACTGTGTTTGCAACGTCTTCAATGTCTTTTTATTTTATGTATGTTTAAGTGATTCTAACTATTTGTTTGAACAATTCTGTTTAACTCTGTTTTCATGTTTGGATGTTGTGGGTTTTTAATTGGAGCTTGCACTGTTTTTAGCGTTGCTGCCCACTCTCAATCTCATTAAGAGAAGAAAGTAGAGCATATTATTATCATTATTACCGTATTTACTTGAGTCTAACGTGTCATCAAATCTAATGAGCACCTCTATTTTCGAAACCCTGAAACACAAAAAAGTATTTACCAAATTACGCCACTCTAATGTGCAAACTCATTTTGGGAAGGTAATTTAGTAAAAAAAAAAGAAGTGAGCATTAGCATAGAGTAAAAACAGTATTAGGCCAACTACACAACAAAACATGGGAGTGCACAAATCTCAAAACTGCACAAAGCCCAACTCTGCAGTAACTTAGATCCTTGCTTAGATCCTTTATTGGACTATCTTAAACTCCTTTTAATTATCAGCTTATAACAGTATAATACAACAACAACAACAACAACAACAACAACAACATCAACAACTGTGCACATACTATGAAAATCCCAGGCCCTTGGGAACAGCCTGATATTCAAACACAAATCCGAATTCAGACTGACAATAGTTTTGGAGCACACGACTCCTGATTTATTTTATTTATTTATTTACTGTATTTGTATACCGCCTTTCTCAGCCAATTGGCAACTCAAGGCGGTTTCCAACAAATCAGTATACATAAAACATAATATAGATTAAAAAAAAACATTAAAAAGTATAAGACATCACAAAAGCAATAAAAGCAACACGGGGAAAAACAAAGTATGGATCGTCGATGTCACAATCCCAGGTGACAGCAGAATCGATGAGAAGCAACTGGAAAAGCTAACATGATATGAGGATTTAAAGATTGAACTGCAAATACTCTGGTACAAACCAGTAAAGTTGGTCCCAGTGGTGATCGGCACATTGGGTGCAGTGCCTAAAGACCTTGGCCTGGACTTAAAAACAATAGGCACTGACAAAATTACCATCCTGTATGGATCTGCCAATACATCACACAGTAATTAGACAGTTGGGAATGGTCCAACATTTGATTGAGTGCAAAAGCCAGCATAGTGATCTTGTTTGCTGTGAACTCATCTTATTGTGTATAGAATAATAATAATAATAATAATAATAATAATAATAATAATAATAATAATCTATACGCAACAAGATGAGTTCATAATGAAGACAATAATTGGGGGCTTTTCAAAGCACAGCAGACAAAGAATCAGTACAAGAAAACTGCACTACAAACCAGAGTTGCAGTGGCAAAAAAGCCAATGGGA